TTTAATGACTATTTCAAAAATATAGCTAGTTCAATAAAAAAAACACTACCAATTGGTAATATATCTAATGTAAATATGCTGGCTGGTGTACCTTCTCCTGCTGGTTCCTTCTTTACAGAACCAGTAACTGAATACACTGTCCTGTATGCTGTTAAATCACTGAAAAATTCTCTCTGTACCGACGTGTACGAGCTTAATTCTAAAATAGTTAAAGAGACGATTGAAATTATACTTCCACACCTTACTTTGCTTATCAATGCTTGCTTTAGAAAGGAAATATTCCCCCGTTGTTTTGAGTTGACAAAAGTTATACCCATATTTAAGAAAGGTGATCCGAATGTTATAAACAATTACCGACCAATCTCAATTATACAAATTTTTGGTAAAATTATAGACTACTCAAAAAAAGCCTATATAAGTTTCTGGAAAATAATTCTGTTCTGTGTGCTGGTCAGTTTGGTTTTAGGCCTAATCATTCTACATCCGATGCGTTCCTCACGATCTACTATTAACTGAAATGGAGCACTATGGGATAAGAGATAATTTGAAATTTTTTACTGCTTACCTTCAAGATAGACAACAATGTGTTGTTACTAAGAACTATGATGCGTTTAAATTTGAGAAAATTCAACACGGTGTACCGCAGGGCTCCATTATAGGACCGATACTATTCTTGATCTTCATTAATTCACTATTATCATTAATTCCTATTCACTATTTTTTGTCCCCCAACAAGTGTATATTGTTTGTAGACGATGCTACCCTAATTGTCTCGTATAAGGATGTATCTCAGTTAAAAACAGCTTCAGACCTGCTAAAAAACCAGGCTGAAAATTGGTTTAATATTAATGGGCTCAAAATTAATGTGGAGAAAACTCAGGAACTTTTTATTGCCACCAACAGAACGATAACAAAAAGTCACACAAAACCTTCTGCATACAAAAAAAAGTAATTAAGGTGATAGCCAATTTAAGTAGCAGACATCATTGCCAACAGTACTTCATTGCTTTAGGCATTTTACCTTTGCCTTGCCTATACATTTATTTTACACTTATTGAAATACATAAACATATTGACAACTTTCATCATCAGTCAGATATACATAAGTATAACACAAGAGGCTGTAATACAATTAGAGTGGACTGCTACCGACTTAAAAAATCAAAATGTAATTCACTGGAAGTGGGGCTTTACAATAGGTTGCCACTGTCTGTTACACAATTAAATTTAACTTGTTTCAAAGCTGTAATTAGAAGATTTTTACTTAAACACTGTTTTTATTCAGTACAGGCTTTTAATAATACTCATTACGAGTAGGATATGTATGTGTATGTGCTGTAGGGTATATTTGTGAGTAGTTAATGTTTATAATATTGTATTGTTGTTTTTATACTATTATTGTTGTTGTATTATCAGTACTTAAATCGATCTGCCCGGGTTTCGAATCCCGCGGCCGGTAGACCGTAGATACGGAGGATTGGCACCCTCTGTGCAGGTATGGTAGGGTGGAAGAATGTTGGCTTGGGTCAATGTGAGAGATTGACACCGGTTGGCATTTGACCACCCCCCTAATTAATGAGGTTTTCCAGGTTTCCCTCATTCCTGCACTGAATGGTGGTTAGGGCCTACCAACATAAGTCGTTCCTGGGCGCAAATGCGGCCTGCTTAATAATAATATGCCGCCTCCTCTCCCGCGCAAGTCTCCGACTTCTGGGCTAACTCTCGTAGTTAGAATGAGGAGTAGAGATATTTTTATTATTATTAATAATAAAGTATAATATTAAGTAAATATTTTGTACACTTGACTTGCCATAAATGTATGGCAATATGTAAAATGGTCAAATATACACTATCTATCTATAAATACATTTTAGGTACCAAAAATAGAGATCACCTTGGCTTAAAGCCATAAAATAACTAGTTCGTTTACTAAATTTTGGGATATTTTAAGTTATGGAACATGCCGAACAAAAGAATCACGGTTTGATGGATATCATTCCTCATATGAAAAAAAAAGAAACACTCATAACCTTTCAACCATACGACTGTATAAATTGTATCAATGTAACAGAAACAATAACTTTATCTTCACAATTTGCATTCTCCTCGTGTTTGCCCAGGTTATCCCTCAGAATCTATTAGGCCCTGAATACAAATGCGAAACCGAATGTGTATAGAGTAGGCCGCGGTAACCTAATTCCTGGACGGGCAATAACATAAGAGTTATACACACCAATATAAAATCGAATAACACATTCGAAGATATTATTTTCTGGAGAGGAAACGGAAACGTACATATTTCCATATAGATATATGATACGCTTCGAAAGTTTGATGTATTATTTAGAATTCAGGTGAGAGCTAGGAGGGAAAAACTTGCAGATCGGCGTATTTACATAAGTACCGGGCCTGGAAATTTACGAAGGCGAAGTTTTAAATTAATGTATTCGTCAGAGGGAAGGCTTTCCAATTAGGAGAGGGACGGTTAAATATATTTCGTGAGTTAAATAGGTCAATAGTTAAGTGGTTCGTTCCCAACTTTAAAACAGTTGCCAGAGTGACGTGACATGTTTGCAGTAAGTAAAGATACACAAAACATTGTCACGTAAGAGAAATATTATATTATGTGACATCAGTGCATTTAAAATAACTGTTTCACGTTTTTATTTTGTTACTGATTCCAAAAATGAATGCAGTGTGATGCTTTAAAAGTCCTTCGCGTGCTTGAATAAATCCATATTTTGCACTCGGCACATAACACTTATTTGCAAAACAAATAAACATAGCGACCCAAATAAAAAAACAATCGAAAGACAAAATTGTTTCCTAAGGCTGTTGTGTAATAGTTTTTTCAAAATTAATTTTTTATTGTTTAAATTTAAAGTGAAAACTATGCAAAAATAAAGGCTTACATCAAAAATTGCTTACACGAGGGAAGTGGGTCTGTCTTTTAGCTTTGCAGTGATATCAGAATTATATCGATTTGATAAAAATTACTCAAAATTCTATGCTAAATCCTGAACGCCTACAACTTCAATTCAAAAACGACATTGATATCCGTGGGATATCAGTTGCGAGAAAAATTGTTTGTACAACTTCAACACTAACGGTACAATTCGAATACAATAATTATAGAAGTAAAAATTGTAACGTTAGTGGCTCGTTTAAATCAATCTAAATTTTCTAATTACGTCCACCGTAAAGAAGGGACGAAAAACACAGTAAAATGTGTTCCTCAGTTACTGCAATACGGCGTGAGCGCCCTGGACCTCCATCTCTTCCACGATTCGGTTGCAAAGTAGCTGCCTTTGACACATGTCTACCGGGAAATCGTTCTGCGTACAGACAAGAAGCTGCTAAAGCATTTTGTCTTGCTTCACCGTAAATTAGAACGATATCCATTATCTCCGAGTTGCTATACACGTAAGCCATTTTTGACACTTGAAAAACTAATGTAAACACTATCGCAACAAGGATAATACTAAAATCGGATTTCAGTACTCGGAATCGCACAGCGCACAATGCGAATGACGTTAGAGACTACAGTAACCCAGCGATGTAAAAGTTGATTCAATAATTATTTTCTCGGAAACTGTTTTACAAAATTTTTTGAAAGATATTGATTCCAGAGACTACAATAACCTAGCGATGTAAAAGTTGATTCAATAATTATTTTCTCGGAAACTGTTTTACAAAATTTTTTGAAAGATATTGACTCCATTTTTCATGACGCATCTATTCTGGTTTCTTCCAATAAATGCATATATTTGATACCTACTTTTAAAAAACTGAAACTTACCTATCTAAAAGTTTCCAGCAAGATTTTTGCCTTAGCGTATTTAAGCGTTTTTTTTTTAAATTTTTCCATTTGAGCAACCAAAACACTCGTTAATTTTTATTAAAATCTCAAAAGTTGCGAAGTGAGATTACCAAGAAAGTGTGATAATCGTGGGAGTTGTATTTTAGCGCTTACCTAATTCAAGCCGCGGAATATACATTCATATAACTTTATTAGGCGCCCAACACACTCTCGCGGGTACAGATCTAGATTTGAGTTTATTATTTCCCGCGCTCGTGTAGCAAAAACGCCCATAAATTTATCTCATCCGTAGGCCTAGACGTAGCAATAAAAAGATAAATATATTTTTCCGCGCATCAAGGAGTGCTGAACCCTATCATAACGTAATACGTACAGCTCCTTTTTTACGACACCGTAACAATTTTACAACACCATAAAACGTGAATACACTAATGCAGCCCTTAACTATTATTGTGCGATGTAAAATTGTCTTATGGGTGATATGGTTGAGCAACAAATTTAATCGGTAGGAGTTCTGTTTTAATTTGTTCAATTAATACTGAATGGTTTAACACTAATTTAAATTCATAAATTAATGACTATAGTAGGATCATATTCGATGCAAAGTAATAAATGCCTGTCAAAGGATCCAGTGCCATACGCTTTTATGGGTTTTAGAAATTGAATAATTTCTTTGTACATTATGAAGGGACGAAGGGATCAGTTCACGTCTGGCACCCCTGTTCCTACAAAAATTCCTTTATTCTCATAAACTATTTATTTTAAATGTAATTTATTATAAATCCAATTTGTTTCCTAAATTCCACATATGTACTACATTTTACCTCTGTACGCGCCACCGTTGCTTACTTGTTTTTTGGAGTCGCTCTGGATTTACGATCAAGCTCGACAGGTTAGTATTTGACGTATAACCGACCACTTCGTACACTCGATGCACCTGGACGACTACAGCTACTATCAGAACACAGTGCGTATGCAGCGGTATTTCAGATTGAACATTCAATTTCACTTTAAATTTGAAATGGTTCATCTTACGCCTCCTAAAAATGATGACACGATTTTCCTTTGATAAAAGACCGACAACTTTTTGCTCTACTTTGCATCGAATACGATCCTACTATAGATTTGTTTCCTTTTAACGTTTTTTTATCTATTCATAATTATTTATATTTTATTCCAGGTTGCAACAGAACATACTATGGTGTTATTGGGAAGACTTACGACTTGGAACTACATCGACCAAAGGAAGACAAAATTCCTTTTATATGTTTTTTGACGTTTTGTGCAAAAGGTGGGGAGTATGGAGATTTAATACAGGTAAGGAAGATTTATGTAAAAAACGAATTACGATTATCAGAACACATGAAATGTTTCGACTACTTTAAACATCAATGTGCATAGTGATGATATTTCTATTGAAAGAAATAATTCAAATATACAAAAATATTTTCTTAATTAGTAACTTTCTAAAAAAAATTTAAAATTTCAAAAAACTTTATCGTATTCATCAATCTTTCAGCCACAATACATTGATTAACATACTTCTGCATTTTATGGATTGCTTTTTTGACACACCTTTTAAAAATTAAATGGAATGAAATTATTAAATAACAGTATCTATAAAATTCTAAGAATGCATCGTAAATAATGGAACATTATTAACGAGTCATGTTCAGGTGCTCTGCTTTGGAAAATATTTCCGTGGTATGTCAGTTTATCCTCATAAAAACGGGGATTTGTAACGCCTATGTAATCCATCATCACCGTTACCTAAAAGGGTAACTTATATCGATTCTGTCTGACACAAAAAGTCGACCTAGAGATTGACTAAAGTCGTTTGTACCTTCTATGCTTTTCTAAGTGCTTTCGCCAGTTTAAATCTAGCAGATATAAGTCTACACTGTGATCGCTAAGTTTATACTTGTTTTAGTACGTACGGAAAAACGTAAAAGCAAAAATATGTGTAATTATAAATTACTGGAAAACATATTTTTAGATTATTACTGCTCGTTTACTAAATACGCATATAGTGGATGTCATTTAACGCAAATATATTATAATGTTATTCAATAACATATGTGTCACAGCTTGTAATCAGTTTGGATATTTAATGGTTTGAGTTTTTTGGTCAAAATTTGTCACTGGGTAATAATCCTGCAAATTATATATTTTTTTGTTAAGTCAAGCGGGCGATTTTTAAACAAATCCACCACATAAGCCAAAGGTTGTATGTACGAACACCTAAAAAATTATTTTTGTTGCTACCAAATCACGAGCGATATCAATTTGAAGATAACGTAGGACATTAATGTTAATGTATTCTGCAAGTTCCCCTAGCCCTGTGATAAAACGTTTTCACAAGCAGAGGATGCGCCTTCGGATGTGCCTTGGTTGTCTCTGCAAAACGTCTTTATTTAACATAATTTAACATCCCATAAGGGAGGGAGTTTGGACTGAGAACCGAATTAGGTTGAACTGAATAGAACATTAAATCTGAATCATTTACAGAAAATGTTAGAAATACGTTATATGTAATAACTCTTGACATGAAAAGATCATTTACGGGCCATATGCTGACAATAAATAATAGACAATTTACGGGTTGAATGTTGAATGTGTTGAACTGAAAACAATGACGATGATATTTTAGAAAAATTAGACATGTCCATGTTCAAATACATAAATATAGTATTGCAGTATTATGGACAGTATGAATTTCTAAGAATGCCGTTTGGTGTGAATAATCCGCCGGCAATTTTCCAAAGAAAGATTAACGAAGTTTTAAATTGTTTTGTTTAATTGGTATTATCTACGTATAGTATAGCACACACGGATAACTTTCTTACAATTTTTTTGTTGGATGAATTCATTCAAAATCTCAAAGTATTAAAAAATTGTGCAATTAAAGAGATCGAATTTTTTGAGTAAAAGTAGGGGCTGAGTTCAAAACACCAAGAAAACGGATGGCTTCTTCGACTCCAACTGCAGATCTGAAAACTGGACACACGAAGCTTCAATTCCCTTTTTTTATATTTTCTCTACGACCATTTCCCTCCAAGTTACAGCTCTTTGAAAATCACCCAAAATTTTGGGATTTTTTTTAATATCCCTTAATTTATGTGCCTAGTGTATCATAAAGGAACAAGTCGTAAAACGCTACTCTTGAATAAAACAAGCTACGTTATGAAATGTATCATGTGACCCTAACCTTAGTCGACCACCATGCATATCAAACCATAAACCTTCAGCGATACAACCATTGACGATAAGAATCGTGCAATAAGTAAAACAATATTGCATATAAAAGAATGCACGGTTTACAAATTATATCAAAATTACACTCGCGACGAGAAAGACTATCAATGTACTGATACGAATTAAACTTCACCACAATGTATCGAAATCGAATTTTCGCTCTGGCATCATTTATTTGGATTGGACCCTCGCATACAGGTAAAACAGGAGACTGTATTAAATACGGATATTCGCCGGAGGGTTACGGCGACTATAACCGGCATCTGCCGCTAAAATGAAATTAAATTCGCTACGAATCCATGGTCAATCCGCAACTATGTCCTCCTGGATTTCCTCGTTCGTGCACGTACAAGTTGTGGCGAATTGCTCAGTCCAAATTAAATGTATATCCTACGAGATTCCTGGGATATCGTCTGGGAACAATTACCCGGAGAAATTGCTTAATGTACGGGATAATATCTGGTAAAGTGACGGCTTGGATTCCTGGAGGTGTGGATGTTCGTGTTTTGATATGCACTGGTGCTATGCAAGGGTGAATATTCATCAAGAGAGGGTTTTTAATACCCATTTAGTGAATGTGCTACAGGCGGAACAAATATATAAATGCAGATTTAATGGTCAGTGATTAGGTAAAAAAACGGTTAAAGCAAATTTGATTCGAAAATCGAAGGTTTAATATTCTTTTTAACTTAAATGATTCTGTAACAATGATACTCTGCTACATATCAATGTTTTTAAATATGATGGAGTTTTCTAGATATCCGTTATTACTTCGATTTGAATTTTGAAAATTTGGGATACTTACCGGGTTTTCGGGCATGCCCTTTTCAACTAAAATAATGGCGTCCACGTACCACTTCCGGTTATACCGGAAGTCGACATCAACATGCTTATTTTAAATGGAACACCCTATATACTATTGCAATTTTGGATTCTACGTGTTATTTTAGGTGGACTTTTATGAAGTTCCCCTATTTCCAAAAATAACCGTTTTCGAGATATTTAATTTTCAAACCTAGTGTATTTTATAGTTATACTAAGATAAAGCCACAATATTTATAGGGGAGATAGCTAGACCCCTAAGCTTCCCATCCATACTTTCAAAGTGGCTTAATTGCATACAAGGTGTTAGAAATTTAATGCCGAGTTTAGTTAACACGTTCACTGCGGTACATACCTCCGGGGGTATGTACTCATTATAAAAAATATGCGAATCTCAATAATCACATTTTTACTGTAACGATGTTAGTGCGATACCAAGAAGATCCACAATTTGGCAACATATTCTATGGACAGACGAGTCAAAATTTACGAGAGAAGGTATTTTTTTAATAGACATAATACTCATTTGTGGTCATCTGAAAATCCTCCTTCCTTAAATTTTGGTAGTAGCGAAAAAATCAAAGAGATCAAAACTGTAGAAAATATAATACTTTCCAACTTTGTTTATGTATATTAATGTCGTAAAGTCAATAACAAACGAGATAATTCAATAATTATACTTTGTCACCATTTTCCCCCTTAACTTGAAAAATATCGATCGCACGATAAAATTTGTAATAAAAGAAGTTGTAGGAAATCGCATTTGCAACAACTTAAGTCCTTACCATTTTTGTTGTAAAGTTGAAAATGGATATTGAGCAAAAACGATTTTTCCTTAAATTCAAGATGGCGGCTGACGCAGGGATGGAATTCAGTTGCGATTCTGAATTTACACTACTATTGACACCCCCCCCCCCCTAATGGTTAGAACAATAAAATTGTGGTCCATAATTTTTTCCCGGTTAAATGACAACCCGACTGGGCTATTAAAGATAACCAAATTTTTTACAATATCTACGAAAAAAGTTTAAATGCCGACACAATTTACGAATTAGATCATCAAGGAAAAGTTTATATGTAGTCGCATTAACAACCCAGCTTCCATCAGCCTACAGCATAAGCTACACATTCGAAATCAATTAAATACCATCAACATTAAACACCGATATTGGTGCCCGCACAGCAGGTTTATTTCTCCAGCATTATTTACAGTTGAATTATCACCATTCCCCAACCATTAGCCTCACCAGGACTGATGAAACGTAGGGAATTACTACGCCCTACATTTGTCTGTCCCTCCGCGTAGGTTGGCTGTTTGTAATCAATTTATATTTACGCTACTCTATTTGCAAAACAAAGGCAAGAAGGATAACACTGTCACACGGATTCCGACGGTGTCGCTAGTATTATTCGTTTTTCTGTCGAGGAGTGATTAGGGTGGGTATAAATGTAAGCCGACCCTGTGCATCTTGTGCAGGTGCTTTGTGTGTTACAGTATTACTTAGCCGGCGTATAAAATGTTTTCTGATCAAGAACTAGCAGATATGGTGTTAATGAACGGAGAATGTTAGTATAATTTAAATAACAGACGACAATTCAACAGTAGAACAGTTCAAAAGGCAGTTCAAAGGTTACGGAATACCGGGAATGCCCACCTGACATACGAAGGCTGCAACATGTTTTCGACAACGTAGAAAACTTCATAAAAAATTCGATATTAAAAGATACACCACGCTCTCTATCACCCTTTTCAAGGAACACATTTATGTCAGAAACACCCAGTATAGAACTATGTATGTACAGATATGATTTTTCAAATTTATTTTTTCATTGAAATGTACATTTGGCCAATCGTTCTGCTACGATAAAAAACAACACGTAAATTATCAGTATTTAAAATCTTAATTTTTCTGACAAACCTTTTACAGAGGGTATTATAACATATACAGGATGTCCCACCGGGAACTGCGTCGATCGATATCTAGGAAAGTAGTGCTCCGAAAAATTTGAAAATTTGGCAACATGGCAATGTCCCTGGAAATTTCAATCCGCATCGACAAAGCAAAAAAAAATATAGGGTGTTCCATTTAAGTTAACGAAGTTATAGCTGTTTGAAGTTATCAAAATGTAACAGCAAAAATTAAATAGCTAGTATTAAATGTTCTAATTTGTTAGTATACCATAATGTAGTGTTACCTATGTCCATTACAGGTACCAAAAAACTACTTGACATCATGCTC